CCAGTCATGATTCATAGCCTAATACTTATCCAGACTCATCTCAGTTCAAACTTGTCCAAGAGTCTTGCCCTCTGCTTCTCCTTTACCTTTGGGTTTGGATATATAGTAGTAACAAGAGACAATAATCAAGCACCAGTCAAAAAAAAAAAAAGCAGGGAGAGTGAAGGGACCTGTCAATACCAGGCCTCAAAAGTCCTAAATACAACGAAAACAGCTAACCAGAGAGGTGAGGATCTATCTATCAGAGAGTCATCCTCTACATGTTAGCACGTTGCAGTAGCCCTCAGCCATCGCCACATCTTATCCTTTGCAACACCCATCCTTCTAGTTGGGAGGGCTGTTCAGCGAGTCTTAAAATAATTCACACCAATGAGGTCACCAGTGCAACAGAAATAATTTAACAAGGGTAAGTTATGGCACAGATGTGAAAAGAAAAACCAAAAACAAAATACCATTTCACACCTGTTTTATAATTAACCCAGCCAACCTACTTTATATTTTGCCACTCCTTAAAACAAGCTGTGGTGTGTTTTCGGGTTAAGTCAACTTAGGTCAGAGCTAATAACCTGCTCTGCTTTTTAGCCTCCTTCAGTGTGTCACTTTCATAGTAGGCATGAAGTGCTTTGCATATTACCTGTTGTGTCATAGTGTGCACAGGCTATGCACAGGTGCCTTGCATAGGACCGTTGTATGAAACTAGTTCCCAGTAGCATTGACCTGTGTAGTCATTGGTTTAGTTTGAGCTCTTATTCCAAGTGGGTTTGTGAGGTGGAATCTTAGAGTGAGTGGAAAGTTCTCTCATAAGAACTTGTCACGGGAGGAAACTGGGAAAATCGAAATAGAAGAATGAGATCAAGCGATCGGGAGACACGTTTATTTCTCTACCATTAGTAATAATTACCAGAAGTTAAAAAGTGCATTTAAAAGCCATATTTATTTTTATGCATGGATCACCAAACATGTCTGCCTAGTACCTCAAGTAACACAACTTGCCTCTTTTTAGCAGAACCACACTGACTAAGCACAGATTACTTTTCTATTGCTGTTTTAACAAACCACTAGGCTTGGTGGATTGAAACAGCACAGATTTATTCTCTTACTGTTCTGGAGGTCAGCAGTATAAAATCAGTCTCTTTGGGCTCTGGGAGCAACTCTCTCCCTTGCTCTTTTCCAGCTACTAGAAGCTGCCCTTGTTCCTTGACCTGCATCCCTCTGATCTCTGCTGCCTTCGTCACATCTCCATCTCTCTCTGGCCATTACCCAGCCCACTACAAAGCCTCTCCATTAAAACTCTTATTCCATGGAGATGACAAGACAAGGCAATTTTTCACAGATTTGCATTGAGTAAAAACATCCAGTCCAACATCATCATTTTATGTGGACGAGAGAGCAAAAATTCACATTTCTTGCCCCCAGGCCTGTACTTTTCTATTGCAGCCTGCTACCTATCCTCATTGCTAGGCCAGGACCTGGAATGTGATGTCTTTCTCTCCACTTTTGTTATTGGATGCTGCTATTACTGCTGTTTCCTTTTTATCCTGACACTAGATTTATTAAGTAGGAGTTTATACTAAGTTCTACTTTCTTAACCTTATTCTCTTTCCACTGAATAACTTAATATGCAAGTAAAACCAGCATCCTTGATATTGTAAAGATGAGTTTCACACACTTCTGACCCAAACCACTTTTGAATTTTCCTAAAACCATTTTAAACCGCTTCTAAGGAGCGCTAACATTTTTTGTGAAAATTTTCACATAGGCCTGGGATAAGCACTTTATATCCATTATCTCTTTAGTCCTCACATCAGTTCCATCATGGCACATATTAATAGTATCTCTCTTTAAGGAGAAGAAAACTGAAGCTTAAGGAAATTAAGCAACTTGTTCAGGCTTGGACTCTGGGATTCAGACCCCTGCCTAACTTCAGAGCCTACAGTCTCAATCCTAGCTAGCATCGAGGACTTCTGTCCACAATTTATTCAGGAAGATGGCTGGCTGAATTGAGAGCGCAGTCATTAAGTACATGAAGTCAATGTGAGGATAAAACCAAACTTTTGGCAGACCAATTACAAGGTCTAATAAAATTAACCAGCCACACCCTTAAAATACTCTCTATATCCATACTGGAACAAGATTGAATTCAGCACAAGGTATGATCTATTTTTCCTTTAGTTTTTACGTAACCTGTATTAAGTGTTGGATTTGAACGTTTCTTATATGGGCAAAATTGCAGAAATATGAGAATTCCAAACTAAAAAAATTTTTAAAGAGGCATACGTCTTACACAAAAACATAATATCTGTGATTATAATATCTTTGGAAATATGCCAAGGACATCACTAATGTAATTGAATTTATTGGGCATATTTTCTTAGTGATTTATACTTAATTATCAAGATTTAATTTAATCCTCCTAAAATGTTTTTCTTTTTACAGTGCTGGAAAATGTTAGACATTTCAGAAAAAGCAAAAGTTAGACAATTTGGTGTGAAAAACGATAAATGAATGCAACCACTGCTGCATTATTAGGCTGAAGGAAAGAATGGTCTAGTAAACTGATCTGTGTTTTTGTGGATGTAAATGATGAAATGCTATTCTTTATAAGCCAAGTAGAATCTGCTGTTGAATAGAGGTATTTTGTTTGATCATCAACTTTACTACATCGTATAATAAATGGATAAAAAATGTTCTGCTCAGTTGAAAGTCAAGAAGAGATTGTAGGAAAAGGCTTGAAGTTGTTAAATTACCAGAACATTCTAGATAATTGCAAAGCAAAAAAAGAAAGAGAGAGAAAGAAGAAAAAACTATTGGAAAACACTCAAACAATACCAAATGTAATACACTCTAGTACTCTAGCAATCAGATTAGTACTGGTGGGAAAAATATTCCACCATCCAATCTTCAGAAAACCTGAGAGAGGTACAAATTTAAGTTTAAATGCCTAGTCCCATGACCCCAGTGCAGGTAGAATTACATCTTTGTCTACACTGGTTTCGTAAATTCCTTTAGTCCCCCATGTCATAGAGCTTAGTCCCCTGAGAAAGGGTTAATGAGCGACACATTAGCGAAGAAGAAAACGCCTCACTCTCACAGGACGGTATGTGCAGGACACCAAGGGAAAGCAGGAGCAAAGGAGGTCATGAAGTAGAGCAAGGTCAACAGGGCTCCCGAGAACGGAGCAAGGGGAAAACCTCCAAAGTAACAAAGAGAAGGTAAATGCCTCCCATTACATAGCAGCAATCATAAGATCAGTAATATAAAATAAGCTAGAACTGCTAAAACTAAGTTCATATTCACTGAGCAGTCATTTGTCAGGCACTGTGATTGAGCCTTACAGGCATTAACTTATCAACAACAGGACGCGATGTATTATTTTTCATATTTTACCAAATGGGAAAACTGAGGCACAGAGTAATTCAGGAACTTTGCCAAGGTCCAACACCAAGGAAGTGCTAGAATGAGGGTTCGACCCAGAAAAGCTGCCTTCATAGCCCACACTCAGCTGACCCCATTATCCCTCTAAGATGGAATTGGACATGATAAGGTACTTTTGAGTTGTTTGCTTATAGCTTGATGTTGGCCTCCTCCTCACACTAAAAATACA